CTCTCTCTCTCTCTCTCTCTCTCTCTCTCTCTCTCTCTCTCTCTCCTATAGTCATGAATTTTTAATTGCAATGCTGTCTTCTAAACTAAGTAATCATTTCTCAGAGGCATGTTGTAATCTCCTGATAGAACCAATCTTTCTGACTGAACTTGAAATCAAATCAGAAGGAACTGTGTCTTCAGCCAGAATGAGTTTTAGATGCAAGATCTATGCATCTCTCCTACGGCAAGCCATAATTTACAGTATTTCTTTGCCTCCTCCGATCCCACTGTGGCATTTGCTGTAGTGTTGATGAATATGCATATACAGGTGGTATGTGTATTTATGGATGAACATATACCTTTTCTCAGGCGCTGAAACTTTGACAGTCTTATCTGCACCTATGAGGATCTTACAAGCGGCAGCTCAATGGCGCTACATATTGTCCAATTTCTCAAACAACACCTTATGCTGCATCTCATATTGCCAGATTAATCAAACTTGAAGGGTCGTCCTTAGTCAGCCTGTGATAGGAGGCATTTTCTATACAGGAATTCAGTTAATGATATGCCTTCCTCTGAGAAAAGGCTAAGTAATCAAGATTGTGTTTTTCTCCCTTTCCACTGTCAAATGACAGCCTTCAAGAATTTCCACTATGTATTGAAAACCTGCTCATGACCTCCCAGGATGCCTTCTTTATTTGTGGAAATTGGTCCTTTCAAAACCTGTGGTGCTCAGCAAAAATATACATTATACATGTACATGTGTGCATAATTCAGGATAATTTGCAGGTTTTAGAAGAATTTGGGTGTTTGAGAAAGGGTTTTAGGATTATAATAGATAAATGATAACAACTATAATTAAGAACAAAGTAGGAAAACATTCTTTTCAGCAGCATGGAGCCATCCATGCCCCAGGCTGTGATTCAGATGGACCACTTTCTAATTAGTTTCTAGTTTAGTGGCCCACTGTTTACTTTTGTATGCAGCACACTTTGCCTCATTGTTTTCAGACCTACCAGGATGGCATGGATTCATTCTCTACGGCAGAGATAAACAGCAACACCCCTTCTGTGAATCCCCAATTGAATGCATTTTAGGGCCTTTTCAGAACAGCATGCAAATTACAGAAAGACAAAACAGAGGTGACCGAGGCATGCATTTACTGCTTGTGAATCGCTGCTAAAATGTACTGAAAATTAAACTTGGAAAAAAATCCTATCACTATCAGAATGTAACAGTTCTCCAAAGATTGCTTTCTCTTATTCATTTTTTGCCCACATAGATCTAAGCACTCAAAAAGATTGCCGTGACTTGACAATTGCAACATTTCCCTTTTCTTTCTTTTTCATTCAACTTTCTTTAATCCTCAGCATCAGTTCCCAGGCTCCCTGCGAATCGCTCTCACCACTCAGCTCGCTCAGTCTCTGACAGAGCTTGGCTCAGTGGTAATAAGTGTTTTCCTCAAATAATACACCCAGCCTTGCATAGTCCTCTGAATATATTTCAAATGTGCTTTCTGTATCTTAAATCTTTAAGGAGGTTTCTTACCTGAAAAATCCAGCCAAGAGCAGGGGGCTGTCTTAGCGCTCATTGGAAAGAGTTAACACTTTTTAAAATCCATCTGTGCCACAATTCTGAGATTTTCAGAGACAGAGCTTCCCAACAACGTTCTTTATCAAGAATTAAGGGAGAAAATGCTTCCCTCTTCCGATCCTATTTCCACGGTAAAGGAGACATCGGTTCATTCACGGTATTGTCAGAAAAGGAGCCAGGGTTTGAGGGGTGGAAACCTTGTCATTTTCACCTTTAAATCATTTCCTGGCGTCACCTCTGCCTGACGAGACCTTTGAAGTAACGGTGAGCTAATGTAGTTTCCCAAGAGAAGCAGTTTATAGTCCCGGCCGGACCATCCCCTCTCTAGTACATTCAGAACAGAGTTAGGCAGGGAAATGTAGGAGCAGAGCTGCTATACGGTGCTGGAAGTAGCCAGAGTCTGTTTCAATACATCCCTCCTCTCTAAGTCTCACATGTCTTAAAGTGATATTACCCTCTATTAATGGCTATGGTGAATTCCCATATCTATCCCTAACTCTTCCACGACTTGAGCAGCACACTTTATCACTATATTTCTTGTTGGTTGGTTGGGGAGGTTTATTTTCTTATGCCATTCTCTTGCCAAAAAGACTAAAAAGGGAAAGCGAAACAGAAGAGAAAAAAGCCCTGCAAAATACTGATAGTGTTAATGGGGGTTATGCTTCTAACAAAAACGGGAAAGTGAAATACATACCATTTCTTACCTTTTAATATTCTTTTTGCCAGTCAGGTTAGACTTACGCTAATGTATTCTGTTGTTTTTGCCTGCTAAGTCTTGGAATACAAATTATCTGGAATATGATAGAGATGTTCATGTTCCAATCCTAAATAAAAGTCTTCTGAGGTATTAAACACACTTAATAAATAGAAATATGGCCTCTAAGACTGAGTTGTGATATGAAGATATGCTCAAGGCACTTTTAAAATATTTTCACTTTCTTTCAAATAGCATACGAGCTGGAAAGGGAATACACTAGGAAGTTCAATCTTATTTCTAGTACTATGGGCTGAACCCTATCTTCCCAGGAAATGTACTATGACTGTACTTAAGCTTCAAAGATGCATGTGAGGTGACCTACTTTTCACTTATAGGCTGCGCTAGTAGCAGGTCTCTGAAATACTCATTCAGTTACTTCACGAGTCACTTACAGCAGACCTACTGTGTGGTAGGTGCTTGGGCTAAAGCAGAAAGCAAGACTGGTCTGAGTCCCATTGTTGAAGTTCATACTAAGTCTTGCAGATTGTTTTCAAACCTGAGATGTTTTTCACAATTTTCCTTCCTTGAAAACTTCAAAGTTTCTTAGACTCCTCTTTCTCCTTTTCTCCAAAATAAAAAGGCTGAGCACTGGGGTGCATCACTGGGAACCCATCTCTTTTCCATGTTACATGAACTGAAAGAGTGAGGCACCCTGGTCTTCTCATCAGTCTTCCTGCTGACCTTTCACATGGCACAGCATGCATGTGTGCATGCGTGCGCGCACGCACACACACACACACACACACACACTCTTTATATCATAATAGCTTTTCATTAGGCCTTACCACAAATGAAATTTCAAAAAAGTAATAAAATAAGAATCACAAAGTTCTAGGGTAGGCTTATATGACTTGTTTCTGTGGTTCATTTTTGTTGTCTTGATGAATGTGTATAGAAAGTTCATTCTGCTGCGATATCAAAACAAAAATAATAGTCACAGGAGCAGGAGCTAGTGTTTATCAAGCTTTCCCCATGTGCTAGCACTGTTCTGTACTGTATCTTGTAAAGCATAATTTAAAGCCTCTTACCAATCCAGCAGTATAGGCATTATTGTTATCTCCATTTCACAGTTGAGGTATATGGGGGAAATTTAGAAGGTCAAAAGAACTCTTCCAAGGTAGCAGAGCTACAAAGTGATAGGGCAGATTTTAAATTCAAAGGATGTGCCCAAGAGCCTATGTCTTTGACATCTGAGTAAAGGAATTCATGAAATTATTTTAATCTGTCGTTATATCCTATTTGTTTCACATTAAGGTGATACAAAATTCTTATTATTTCTTCTACATATATAGATTATTCCAGGTGTTTGACATATATATAGGTGTTCAAGACAGTCTTTGTCCCATTTTTTTTGGGTGGGGGTTCTGACTCTGATATATGAATGAATTAAAATTAAAAAACAAGTTCACATTTGCTAATAAAGGCTGCCATTTTGAAATACTGTGGATTAAATACATTTTCCACCTCTAGGGATTAAACTCAGGCTCAACATATTTGCTTAACCATAATTCAATTCACTGTGATATATTTGAAGCATGGACTTATGGGTTATGTTCAAGGCACAGTGGAAAATTTTTGAGATTTATAAAAAACCAAGACTTGCTGTGACATTCTGCATATGTGTAGGATGAGTGAAATGAATGATTAAAAGTGAGAATGTCAACATCCTTATATTTGTTTCTTTCCAATAAATACTTTTCACTTTATTACATTACAGCCAATGATCATTGCCTTTACAATATAAGCATTAAGAATATTGATTGTGTGTGTGTGTGTGTGTGTGTGTGTGTGTGTGTGTGTGTGTGTGTGTGTGTGTGTGTGTGTCTGGTGTGCTGTATGTAGTACACAAGCACAGAGGCCAGGGGCAGGACAGGAGGCAACTGTCCTGCCTCCTTTATCACTCTCCACCTTATTCCTTTGAGACAGGGGCTCTCACTGAACCTGGAGCTGGGCTGCTGATCAGCAAGCTGCAACAATCCAGCTGTCTCTACCCTCCACATCACTTGGGTTATAGGCACATCTGACCACATCCAGCTTTTTACATAGGTATTGGAGATTTAAACTTGAGTCCTTATGCTTGTATAGGAAAGCTCTTACTAGGCCATCTCCTCAGCACCAACAAACACTGATTTTTATTCCAACTCAAAGCAAAATGAGTCTCGTACCTTTGGGGGAAGTTATGCCTTTCTGCCTTCTGACAATGGCAAGACATGTACTCCTCTGGTTGGGTGGGTTACAGAGTTTTGGCCATGAGAACTGATGCCATTGCAGGGGAACTAGAGTGTTAGTTTTTGGAGAAATACCCTCCAGCTTGGAACCTTGAGGGCCACAATGAAAAGAGGCTGTCCTTCCCTCTCTACTAACCCAGATGGGTATACATAGTGACTAGAAAGTATGTACTGAATGAGACTTGTAATTTTATTGTAGCATAACATAGACACTCATCACTGATAAACCTGTATTACTCATTTCCTAATTAATTATTTTGTTCCATGTCCTACCCTAAGCTATGAGGAGACAACAGCGTGCCCATTCAAATTCCTATCTTCACAGAGTCCACTGCAATAGGAATCTATTGGTTATTGTTTATAATAGCAGTGGTAACTGCAAAGCATGGATGATTGCAAATGGAACCTTGGAGCCTCTCACAAGTGAAGAGTTATGTGAAATCTAATCCCTCCTGTGGCTGACGGTGATGTTCTGTTCAGCCAGTGATATGGCACCACAGTGCCCCCAAGGAAAGGACTATAGGCCCACATGTTTCAACCTTCAGTTTCACTAACTCCAAATAGTCTGAGTATTTGGGAGTTCTAATCATGTTCTGGTCCAAACTCCTAAATACGTAAGTTTCAAATGCAATATGTTTGTATGTATGTAAAATACAAAACCCGAGTCACTTGAACTCTTCTTATGGAAAAACTCACATATTCAGAAGAAAAATACCTGCAAAGACACTGGACATAAAAGTTAAGTCCTCAGATTGCTTAAATAACCAAAAACTTAGAGCAACTGCTCTACATAAGAGAGAGGGCAAGTGGGGCTCAGGGGAATGGAGGGTAGAGGTTGTAACATGATGGAAACCTAGAAGAGGAAACAGTGCTGGGAGGTGGAGGGGGCCAAGGAACAGAAGGATCCCAGTAAACAGAAGCATCCAGTCCAGCTGTCTTGGTGAGCTATACCTGACCATATAGAGTATAACTGGGGCTCCAGATGAAACTGTAACTCCAAACAATCACTCATTTTTAAGCACACATTCCTAATAGTTTCTGTGATTAAAAAAAAAAAAAAAAAAAACTGACTTGGGAAATCCAACCACCAGATATTTACTCAAAGACAGGAATCCCTCATTCTCTGATCACCACACTTTCCACTTCTGACCATTAGAAATGAAAGCTGTCCCTACTTAAGAACAAGTTAATTAATAATGTAGCTAATTTTAATTCACAAATGTACAGAAGAAAATGTGAGACATATAAAATGTTATGCATATTTCTAAATTAAAAAACAACTGAAGGAATTTAAAGAGATTCCAGCTGGAGTAGGAAGCACTCCACGTTTCAGGCCAGGCAAATTCAAGGAGCTTAGACGAACATCAAGTATTTCTTGAAATATCACAGTTTGGCTCTGATTTCACAGCTCTGGAATTCTTTCTTGTTCCATTTCAATTGGTTAATGAAAACGGTGACACAGAAAAAAGGATCATTGACAAGGTACTTCCCCCCACACCCATGGGACTTTGGCACCATTAAAGCACAATTTCGCTCTATTTTCCTCATCCTCTTTCTCTCTCCCTCCCTCCTTCCTTCTTTCTTTCTTTCTTTCTTTCTTTCTTTCTTTCTTTCTTTCTCCTTCCTTCTTTATTCTTGAAGTTATTGGAACTGCTCATCATCAATCTACAACATATGTTTTAGGCCCCTAATTATGTGAAGTAATATACATTTTCCTTTAGGTAAATAATGCTATTATTCTGTCTGTCTCCCTTAGCCCAATTTCATAAATCATTTGTGTTCTAATATTTTTTCATATAACCCAGTTTTTCCTTTTGTGATGGAGTTCTACTAGGTACTCCATTCCAGACACACAGTAACATTCCTAGCTTGTCCATCTTATCTTTGAGACTATACTTTCTTAGTTATTGTTATGATTTGAGTGGGAAGTGTCCCCTTATGTGTTTGAATACTTGGTCCCCAACAGGTGGTACGTGGAACTGTTTTGGGTGCCTTTAGGAGATGGAGCCTCCCCTGGAGGAAATGGATCACTGGGGATGGGTCTTGAAGCTTTATAGTCTGGCCCCATTTCCTGTCCACTCTCTGCTTCCTGAGTGCAGATGCAATGTGGCCAGCCAGGCTCCTGCCCTTACATTTGTCATCCCTGTCTACTGCTATGCTTCCCTGTTCTGATAGACTATACTATATGCTTCTAGAACCATGAGCCAAAATAAACCCTTTCTTCCTTTTGTTAGGGTATTTTATCCCAGCAACAAAAGTGAGACATTATTCCCTATTTTATACCTGAACTTAATTCAAACTATATTAGATGAAGAAAAGGATGATGAGCAAAATAGGAAAAAGATAATGGAAAGAAATCAGGCAAAACAAAGCAAGAATATGTAAGTTGACCATGACTAGGATGCTCATGTGTTCACACCAACATTTGGGGGTGGTGGAA